ATGGCACTTTTCCTGAGAGATTCATGCTGGCATGTGAGTTATATCGTGCCATTTTTTGTTGGGTTGGGTTTTTTCTTTCTTATTTTCTATTCCAAATCTAATCAAACATGTCTGGAAATTGAGAAGCAGGCACACTGCAGTTCAAGGTTCCAGTTTAAGTGACACATTAACAGGTTTTTTCAGCTGTGTTTGAAGAAAGATTACTCAAGAAAATGTTTGTGCATTCCAGTAACAAATTGTTACTTTTCTTACAAAATAATAGCCTCCCAAATCACAGAGTTAAGCAGAACCTGACACTTTGGGATTTGCTGTAGCTCTGCCTTGTCCTAGCTACCAGAGAAGTTCCTTTCAAGCTGAATTATTTTTGCATCTTATTCCACTTGTGCAGCATTTCTATACCTAAAGGTCCTTTTGTCACTACTGACAATTTCTATCGCTCTGTTCCTGAACAAAGGCAACAGCTGTGTTTTAAAAAGTTGAATTCAGCTTTTCCTTCCCCTCATTGTTAACAGAACTTGTTGCTAAGGCAAGCTAAAGTCCCATTGCCTCTACTGAATGGAGAAGCTGCTGTTCAGCTCATCAACATTATTATGGTTGGTTGTGAAGGATTTTCATGCTTCCTTCTTGGAGGACAAGGAGTGAATTAAATGGCATTCTGTCTTTATCACTTTAAAATGATGACATACTCTGCTGTTCTTTGTCAGCATGAAACAGGAGTGTATCGTAAGAGGTGAGGATGGTGCCTTCTCCCTTCATCACAATGAAGAGATGATAAATGCATCCATACTAAAAAGCCTGTGCATTTCACTTTCCAACCCCTTCCAGGACAGTCCCTAAAGTTGTCCCAAAGCAAAAGGCCCTCTGGGGATAAAGTTTTCGTGTGCAGGCAGAGATGAAACAGCTGTAAATGTCAAATCCCAAGCAATCTAATAGTCATGTATAAGACAAAGGCAGCCCATTGTACTTCAGCCCTTGATAACATGATCTGAATGCTGTTCTTTACTCGTTTCATCACTGTCATACATGAACAACAGTTTTCTCTGGTACCTAGAAAGTGTTGGGTTGTTTCATGCCATCCACAGAAGAGAGCATGAAGCCTGCCAGTACAAATTTAAGCACTCAAAAGATTTTTAAACAAATGTGAACTAGTAAAATGTGCTTAACCTTCAGTCAGTGCTTTATATCACATTTTTGCATGAAGAATGTTAATTTATAACCAAACTATAGCTAGAGAAAGGGGAAAAAACTATAAAATAGAAGTAGGTCTGGAAAAAGCCACCAAAGATGGGATTTTGCAGGGTATTCCACCCCTTTAAATAGACAGAAATTCTGTGCTTCAGAAGTGGAGTGTAAATAGCTGCATCAAACCTGGATTCTAAGCCTTGTACCTCTGAGAATGGGTTTTAACTTGACTTTTAAATTATTTTTTTTCCCCAGCTCTACTTTACAGTGCATTTGGAGTCATCATTGAAAAATCACGAGGTGCAGAAGATGACCTGAACACCATAGCTGCTGGAACCTTGACAGGAATGCTATACAAAAGCACTGGTAGAGTAGCAAAATGTTTCTCATTTTCCTCCTCTTGTGTTTTATCCTAGTTATTAAGATTCTCGTTACTTTTAGTGAATACTGTCCTGCCCTGAAAATTGACAGTGTAAAAATGGCTATTTGCTCAGTGTCCCCTAATCCACACAATATGCTTCACACAGCTAAGACTACTTAAGAAAAA